TGACTAATCCAGCTCTTTTCACCTTTCTTGCCCTGTGAGGACAAAGGTGCTCTGGAGAGAAGACAAATTGCCTGGAGAGGCAATTCCTATGTTTTCAAGGAGCCCTTTAAGGCAAGAAACCATACCTGCCTCCCAGCTGGGTCAGACCAGGGGGTGAATTTAGGAGGAGAGATGGCAAATATGATGGAAAAGAGCCCAGCCTGCAGCAAATTAGAATCCATTGCTTAAACTAGCACTAGCCCAGACTGTCCGTCCTGCAGGAGCCCTTGGGTCCTATACACCAGCTCTTACTATTTCCTTCAAGTTGGAACAGGTCTCCAGGTACTGTTGAAACACACAGGAACATTCATTTGACTGAAATCTAACTGCACGTTCACTCCCCACAGCCTTTGTCTGGAGCCAGCCAGCCCCCTGGGTCCCCTCTTACCTGACCAGATCGATGGGCTGGTATTTGTAGAAGACCCCGTAACTTGCCCACTCTTCGTACAGGAGCTGGGAGAGAGAAAGTGGTCAGGGGCTGGGTGAGAATATAACACTGTTTGTTCCCCTGAGCACACAGCTGCTGGGGATGTTGACGAACTGATGGATTCAACCCATAGCCATGTAATCCATCTATGCATGCAAACATCCATCCATCCATCCATCCATCCATCCATGCATGCAAACATCCATCCATGCATGCCAACATCCATCCATCCATCCATCCATGCATGCAAACATCCATCCATTCATCCATCCATGCATGCAAATATCTATTCATCCCTTCATCCATCCATGCATGCAAACATCCATTCCTCTATCCATGCATGCAAATATCTATTCATCCGTTCATCCATCCATGCATGCAAATATCTATTCATCCGTTCATCCATCCATGCATGCAAATATCTATTCATCCGTTCATCCATCCATGCAAACATCCAACCATCCATCCATCCATGTATGCAAACATCCATCCATTCGTCCATCTATGCATGCAAACATCCATCCATGCATCTATGCGTGCAAACATCCATCCATTTAACCATCTATGCATGCAAACATTCATCCATCCATCCATCCATCCATGCATGCAAACATCCATCCAT